ACTAGAGACTGATTCTTTCTTTAATCTGCAATTTATTGCTTCCGCATAGTTTGCTCTGGAAATGGAATGTAACTGTCTTATATGAAAAAATGTGCAAATGCGGTTTTTTGGAAAGATTTGCTTGTACCGGTTCTAAGTTTGTTTTACGGATGAATTACGTAATTCTGTTCTCTCTGACCTGCCATGAACAACAGTGTGTACTGCCTTTTATGTAAATGCTGCTTGAGAATCTGAACAAAGTGTAACTGTATAGGATGTTTTAGCTTATTGCAACTGCAATAAGTCTTTGTTAGCTTTGGGTTAGCAGCTGTAAAAAAAAGAAAAGTGGGAGTAAAGTCTCAAATTGTCGATTATCTAGTGAGGAAAAATGAGATTGAAGAGCAAAATCAGAGAGGCTCTGAGGCGCTTATTAGCTAAATGTCTGGCAGACAAGTTAAAAGTATCTGCCATCTTCTGACTGTGTAATATTCAGATTATTTTTACAATATCATATTGGTTCATACAACTCTAACAGTTGGTTGTTGTTTGTTGCCTTTGTTATTGATAAGCTTTACCACAATTCTGCGCTTTGTTTTTCAGCTGAAAACAACAAGTATTTTAGTTATTTGAGACGAAGTTGTGGAAGTCTTTGCATTTTTAAAATATAATTTTCTAATAACTTTTCCCTCACTATCGCGTTAGGCAATCGCCAGGTGATCAGTGGAATGTAGAAGTGGTGAAGTAAGTCAGAGGTTTATCAGTTGGCAAAGGAGTCGAAACATGGCGGCGGCAATAGGCTCTATCAAATTGTCGAGGTCTAATGCAGGAGGCTAATTTGGAGGTGGTGCTAAAAAGAGGGTTGTGAAAAGACCACAAACAAGTCAATATATCAACGAGTTTTGGTATAATTCGCTAATATCAACTCGGTGTTGATACAACTTTTTTCATTTTTTGCTGACAATTGTTAGGAAATTGGGATAAGACTGTGCATTTTTGAATTATAATTTCTCCATAATTTTTTCTTTACTAAAGCATAAAGCGTTTGGCAGTCAATTTCTGTTTCTGTTAAGTCTTAATCATGTTGCATAATAAAAGGGCTCTATTTCAGTTTGGTGGAACTATCGCTTTTATTGGTTGGAACAGAGCAGAACCATATTTATTACAGTCAGTGTTTACTGGCTTCATTAGTTTTAAAAAAATTGGGACTACCAAACTGAAAGATCTGGAACAAAGATTCGATTCCGAACTTATTCTTTTTATGTGGTATATTTTTTTACTTGCAATGATGTTTTCATTGTTGGTATAAGGCTTTATTTACACAGGGATAGAAGAGAAGTGAAAGTAGGTTGAGGGTCTGGCTTAAAGACAGACTTTCAGCATTATTTGCTTTTTTTCTGAGAATCAGAACATGGAGTAGGCATATTCAGATAAGTTCTCAGGAATTAATCGACACATTACATTCAAAAAATACTTCAATGTAGCTTTCAGTGTTGAGTTTTGGCGAGTCGCGAACGATAAGTGTAGCGAGTGATGACTGTATTGATGCGAATCATTGTCGTTGGAAGATTGGAAGATAACGTTTAATTTACAGAGACACTGCTTCAAATCGCAATAGATGGCATTTTCTGAGTGCAAAAAATTCATTCCAGCGGCGATTTGCAAAACCCAGTGGTAAAATTCTGCTTTTGCAACTTCATGATTTGCTTCCAACAAACCCCTACGTAATTGCTTTCCACAGTCCTCCATTATTATGCAGTAATTAGGTGGTTGACGGCAAACACGACTGGAAAATTACTCAGATGAAAAGTTAGTGCTATTGTAGAAGAACTACCTGACATAAGAGTGAAGAAAAATAATTATTTTTAATTTTCTTGCATTACATCAAAGTAACTCCTTTTTTGTTCAGACAGTACTGCTCGTGTTGATTATAAAGGCAGTTTTCTTATTTCAGTTTTAATTAACATGAAGCAATTGTTTTAAAAGTAACCGTTTTATTAAAATAATATTTAAAAATATTTAACTGAAATGTTCTCGTATTACCATTGCTTTCAGCTATTTGGGAAAAAAATAAAAATAATGAAATTTTTGTGTGAAAATGAAATATCATTGAAGAAAACGGTTACAAACGCAAAAAATTGCATATAGAGGTTACTATAGCTTTTTGCAGTTACGCTTCAGTAACGTACCACTGCCATCTGATTTAACTTTCAGTCTTTTTCATGCTCATATTTTTTTCCAAAGCAAAAAAAAAAGTGCAAAGTAAAAAAAGCCTCAAGAGCAGTATGTGTGATTTTTTTTGAACAATAGTTGTCTTTCAGGTGATCTAGCGAAACTGTGACGGTTCAAATGATAGCTGTAAGTCATTTGATCGTTGGTAGCAGACAGATACTGTACACGACATTTAGATATCAAAATATATGACGAAGAAAAGTTGAAAGGAGTGAAAAATACAAAAGTATGTTTTGTTATCGCTGCATAAAAATTTGCTCTTTTTCTTTATTTCTTCAATTCTTAGAATACTTGCTCTTTGTAGTTTAGCAGATGACAACAACAGGTGCTATAAAGAAAATGCGCATAAGGTAATTGAGTAAAGAATCTTTATTCAGTAGTTGATAAGAACGGTAAGAATTAATCAGAAAAGCTGTATCAACAAAACCAGAAATGGAGTTAAATTGTGTTATATGACAAAGAAGAAATTTTTTTTTTTTTTTTTTGTTGCTAAACATGATCGTTTTTGCAGAATTATAGTTCTGTTTGTTCTAGAAAACTTTTAAATCTTTGTTTTACTCAAGAGTTTATTCTTTTACAGATTTAATTAAGAAACAGTGAATCGGGTATATGGTCATTGCTTTATGTTACTCCTCCAAATTTTTACAATTAGATGTAAAATAAGGCTTATTCGATAACGTTTTTTCAACAATTTGAAAGGTCCTTATGTTCGCTCTGTGATCGCTGTGACAACCTCAGCTCGATGGATTAAACGGCACTGCTCGGCACTGCTTGACACCCAAAGCGCAGAAACTGCACTCTGAACAAGGACAGAACACGAGGCTCAAACACCTTCAGGCTTGAGAAGCTGCCAGCTGCTTGTTTACGCTTGTAGTTCGGTGAGCATTGCGGAACTGCTTTTAGCGAAGGGCAGAAACTGGTTGACAGTAAGCATTCAGCTGTTTAAATGTTCTTCGAACGTTATTTTCGTTATTGTTTGTGTGTGGGCGTTAAGAGCGATGTTTATTAAAATTATATTCCACACCGTTCATCTGCTTGCTCTTTTCCTTCATTAGTTTCGTTTATTCTCTATACACTGAGCGGTTCTGTTGTTGGGTAGTAACAACGTTCCGTTTGCATTAAGAAGATGGTTGCTAAACGAGCCTTCATGATGCTGTGCAAGAAGTTAAAGTACGCTCATGGTCGGCATTTCGCCTCATTCCCAGTTATGCGATTAGAGCAGTGCGAACCATGCATATATGAGCAAAGCACATCTCGGTAATTCTTCAGTACTGTCTAGCTCTTTTGGCTGTTTTTCTCTCTTAAAGTTTTTTTGTAAGTGAAATTGAACTTAACAGGCTATTTGAAAGCAGGTTGATTTTTAAAGTTACCTCAGACAATTCTTATATGTAGCAGTTCTACTGGTATTCTAAATTTCACTTTTAGTTTGGCAAATTAAAGCTTTTTGAGTTCCTTCAGAGTTGCTCTATCAAAAGATATAGGAAAATCAAGTTGCATCTGGCAAGAATCCTGTTGGTTTTTTCAGTAAGTATAAGTATCAATAATATTTTGTTTTCAATGATCAATTGCTGAATCAAGAAGCGCATTCTTCATAGCTTTCAAATCTTCCTTTTGGTACGCTTTGGTAAACAAGCTATTTTATTATTGGGCCATTCCACGTCAAATCGCACACTTTTTTCCCATCA